GCTACACTGCTGTGACTCCAGTCTTATCTCCCAAAAGCAATCACCTTCAAGTCCAAGGAACTCATGAATAAACCACAGATAATACAAAATAGCTTCCTCTCAGAGAATAATTTTTAACTACAACTTTGATGCTGGGTCATGGATGTGCAGAACTGATGCTATCTTCAAGGATGGGTAGTGGAGAAGCTCAGTGTGGCGTTGTGGGGGTGGTACTCACACCAGAACCACTGGGAGCCTATATTTGGGGCAGGGGGCAGGGCTTACACCGAAAGACCACAGTTAATCAAGTACTGCAGAAACCCTTGCAATATATGATGAATCTGTGATCCTGTCTGTTTGGGGCCAGATGCTTTTATGCATAGTAGAAAATCAAGTTGACATTAACATATTTCCAAATTCTATGTACTTGGCCTTATGGGAGGAAACTGACTGGATATACTTTCTATTCTATGCAGTACAGATCTTTTTCTAGTTAGGTAAGTTTGAAGTGTTTAAATTACTTAAGTTTAGGAAATTATCCATAATTGACATCCAGAAAATTAATAAATAAACACTCCCAAAAGTTGATCTACAAGTGGAGGGTGGGAGAGACATCCTGATGAGAGAGTTAGATCCCCAGGATTTGCCACTGTGTCTCCTAAACACTTGAAGCATTTACCTTATTCATACCTCGAATTCATTCCTGTGCTAGGTCAAAGAGCCAAATGCCAGGATATTTCTTTCTAAATACCATTCTGCTTCACGCTGTACAGTAAAATGAGTTTATGTGTGTGTGGTTGCTTTTGTAAAGTCCCTCAGTCATCCTGTTCTTGTGGTGGCGATTCCACGTCGCGGTGTTAGCTAACTGCAGGGCTCTCAACTTTCCCACTGCACATTCCCTACCAATCCCTGGGGGCCTCTGCATTCCCAGCACTCTGTGGCCCCAGCCTTTTATGAGGGGCAAGGCTTCTTAAACTGTCCCTAGGGAGAAGAAAAAGGAAGGCAAGCACAGAGTGGGACTTGGCTCTCAGGTGGATTAGGAGGTGATAAAATGTACAGGAACTGGAAATGAGTCCCCCAGAGGGGGTGAGAAGGTCAATACCAGAAAAAGAGCCTCAAGTTCAGTCCCAGAATGGGCAACGAGCCAGCATGCACCGTAGAGCAGAGGTCTGGGCATCCAGGGTGGAATCAGCAGGCAGGCAGGTTGAGGGGAAGAAGGGCTCAGAAACAGCGGTCTCGATGGGCATCTACAGCGGAACCCTTGGTGGAAAGGGGCTGCTATGGTCACTAGAGCAGCTGCATTATTAGCTCCTGATCCAGTTCCTTCCCGTGCCTCTTGCCCCCCTTTCATTCTGCTTTCTTCATTAAGGATCATGCCCCTTTGCTCGCCCCACTTGCTGGCCCCTCGAACAAGGCACTGCACTGACTGCAAATGTGTCTGCAATTCTGATGGCCCCTCATTTTGTCTTGTTTGTCCTTTTTGCTTCGTGCCCTATGTACAACTTACACACCCTGCCTGTGATTATTTTCTGAAAGATTGCTCATAATATCAGAACTCTCTGCAGGCCTTTCTCACCACTAACTGCTGTGCTAATCAGTGCATTTTAGGAACGGACTCGGTATTTCGAGCTACTTACTTCCAAATGGTTCCACCATCAACTCAAATACATCTTATCTCAAACTGAGGACACCTCTTCCACTTCTAAACATGCCCCCCTTGCTCTGTCCTCATATTCTGTCCCGATCACAGGTCCTTAACTGAAGTCATTTGGTGTTCAGTACTAGTGGGCAGGCACCTGGCCACACAACCTAACAGCAGAAACAAAGAAAATCTGTTTCCATATTTTGATCCACCACTCAAAGACTTGGAATTATAATCTGAAGAATTACTAAAATGATGATAAACTTTACATAAACTTTTCATCTACAGGCAGCAGCAAATGCTTGAATTTTTGAGAAACCATTAGGTAAAAATGGGCTGGAGAGATGGCTCAGCAGTGAGAGCACTGACTGTTATCGCAGAGGTCCTGTCTTAACTTGATATGTCATGCTTTGTTGACTCCCATGGGAGGCCTTACCCCCTCTGAAAGGAGACAGAGGACTGGATGGGAGGGGGTAGAAGGGAAATGGGGGGAGGGAATGGGAGGAGAAGAGGGAGGAGAAACTGTGATTGATATGTAAAATAATAAATAAATAGAAACCCTGTAATATACAGATAGACAGACACACAGAGAGAGAATAAAAACAGAGGAGAAGGAGGGAAGACAGGAAAGAAGGAAGGGACTAAAGGAGGGAGGGACAGAGAGAGATGAGACGGAAGGAGAGGAGGGAGAGATGGGAAGGAAGGAGGGAGGAAAGGGAGCCCGTGTGTAGCCCTGTGGCAGGGTGTGAGCTTAGAATGTGTATAGCTCCAGCAACAACGAAAAAGAAGAAAACCAAGTCTGTTATTCAGTTTTAATTTTTTTCACCTGAAAAGAAAGTGGTTTATTACTGAAAGTATTTGATCAATTCATCTATGAGTGTACACACTAGGAATATGCTCTACCACCGAGCCGAGCCTCCAACTTCTAAATGTGAGTTTGATATAGAGTAATAATTCTCCACAAAATTATAAGCATTTCCCAGCTATGAAGCACTGATTTCTAGAGACATCAATATGAACAACAATGAAAACAGAAAATAAAGTAGACTAGTCTGCTCTGTGCTAGTGTGGAGCTAGAAGAAGCAGAGGGAAGAGATGACACCAAGCATAATAACAAACTCTTAGCTATGGGGAGGGGTGCCGGAGACTAAGGGGACACCAATGCAGGGAAATAACAATACAATCAGAACTGAATCATCACCAGATGATACAAACAAGTGAACCAGGATGACTGTAAGCATGAAACAGCCAGAAAACCTAAACCTTGGCAGATCTCCAACAGGCTATTAAATGGACTTTGAAATTCACGAGCCTGTTTCAAACGCTGAGAATTAAGCCAACCTCACTAAGCTTGGGCAATTGTTCTGTTACATAAATTTGAGAATGAATGATTCTCAGACTATGTCTTTGAAAGTTAAAAAGTATTTAAAGGAAACACTGAACTAGAGCCAAAATGTACACCCAGGTTCATGTTAGTGGAAGAAGAAGCCAGCACACATTCTCACTGCCGCTCATTTGATTCTCTGTTTGTTCCTCTGAGATGGGGACTGGCTGTGTCATCCAGACTAGTCTCGAGTTCCTCTGCCTCCCAAGTACAGAGGAGTGCTACCAAACGAGGTCTCATGGCTCGTCACACTAGGCAGCTGTGCTTACCCTTTCTTTCACTATGATTCTATCTAACTGCAGCGAAACAGAAGTCAGAGACTTGGGTCTTTGGGTTAGTTCCGCCAACGACCCGCTGTGCGAGCATGCGCAGCTACCCTATGCACACACAAGTCAACACTGACCAACCGTCCTTCCAAAAACTCAGGTGAGTGGAAACACATATTAACAATATTCCAGGCCATGATGTTTCAAATTTTATAAACAATAACTCCAATTTACTGAAAATGACTGTAATACCTGGTAATGATGAAGCTACATAGAGCTGCCTACAAAATAGCTTTGGGGTCTGGGGAAGACAAGTCTCATCAACTAGGAAACACGAACACAAAAGTCAGGTTGGCTGCTGTTCAGGAAATCTGTGCCATTCTCTTGTTCATCATTACGAGAAGAAATGAAACGTATATCTTATTTCTGTTCTAGAACATATCGTTGCTCAACTTAGCCATTCTTACTCAGTGTTCAATAAAATTGCTTAAAGTGGATACAGAGTTACATATGGATGCCAAGCAAGAGTTTGGTGATTTTTTTTTTAAAAGTTGGATATAATTTTGTCACTGGATCCAAATTACTGGCACAATAATTACCCGTGGTGCTACATAATAATTCTAAGCATAACTGCAGTGGGATCCCATGGCATGCATATACTCTCCATCTCCAGCCTAATTAGTCTGTACATATGACGAAACTTTATCCGTCTGTTCTCCAGTATCTCCTTAAGGTGCATAAGGTTTGAATAGATAGTGTCTGTAATGCCTCTCTCACGGAAGGGTCTTAACCTGTTAATGATAATGATGATACCCATAATAATGCAATGACCCTAAGTTATTTTAAGTTATATTAAGGAGATTATATATATATATCCTCCATCAGCCCCAACTTCCTCAAGTTGTGAGCTGTAAATACTCAGAAACGCAATATGTCCCTATCAACCATGCCCACACATCTTATTCTTGTCAGTCAATAAATGATACAGCATTGCAAGTATTTAAATAGCAGTTGAATATTTATTGGGTATTATAAAAAATCTAGACATGGCCTAAAGTATAAAGACTGACCAGGTTATAAGCAAATCATATACCACACTATATGTGAGATTTCAATACCTTCGGAATTAGATTTCTATGGGAGTTTCTGGAACCAATCCACCAAGCATACAGGAAGAGATAGATATGCAATTGGTTCTGCTCTATAGAACTGTGGTTAATATTATTTAATACGAAACATTACACAAATTAGGATTCCTTTTCAGAACAGTACATTTGACACTTCCAAGTACCGATAGTTGGTACCCATCCTTCATTTGATTATCAAAAACAATGTTTTTAATATGATTTCCAGTTAATTCTGTTGATGGTCAAACATTCCCAACAGAATTAAGTCACTTTCTATGAACACATTTCATGTGTAACAATTACAGAAGAAAATTTAAGTAGGATGTATACTACAATACTTATCTAGGAAGCAGCTCTTCCTGGTAAACATCACTGTCTTCCAGTTCAAAACCACATTTTAAATGATTAGCCTGAATCTTGAGTGAACCACAATCGCTCCAATTTTAAATCAAAGCTGTATTCTAATTAAATGTACAAATGGTGTGTTAAAATATTAATGCTTTATATTTAGCAAGTTAATAGATGATGCAGTATAATCACAGATGTCATATTATTTTTAATTGTTTGTAAAACTTCTGCAGCCAGGGCTCAGGGATACTTACTAATAGCAGAATCGTAGGAGGTAGAGTTGTGCTCACCCCTCAGGAAGGGGTACGGAGACAGGTATGCGTGTGTGCAGTTCTTGGATGGTGGCTGATTGGCTAGGGAGAAAGACACAGGAATGTTGTCCATTACTGAAGATTCAGAGATGACTCATGCCTAATGGAACGGGAGCCCAGGAACCAGGGACACAGAAGCAAAACAAAACTGCTACCTACCGACAAGCCCAGAGAGCTGCCAGAGACGCATACTCTGCTGGAAAACATGGGGAACTTGGAAGGAGAGTTTTCAAAAACAACTAGAATTCAATGGGAGGAACACAAGTTCCCACGAGACCTAGACTACAGGCAAAGTGCTGTACCTGTTTTCATAGATTCTTTCTACCAACTCGATGCCTGGCACACAGGAGATATTAAAACACGGTTGTCTCAGAAATGTAGTAAAGTTAGGTTTGACCTTGACTAGTTCAGACGAACAGAGAATCTCCTCTACACCCCTAATGTTAGGGAAACGATACAGGATACAGATGATGGAACATTAAAATTAAGAATTCAAACAAAATATCAGCATTGGAGGAAACCACAAGAATCACTTTTTTTAAAGCCTATGAAAGCGTCAATTTGTTCCATGTGTATTTAGATTTCAAAGTCTGAGTCTGTATTCTAACAGGGGTCAAGATGACAGACTCTCTAAGAAAGGTATGAAGTCACCGGAGACCTAAACAGTCTGGTGACAAGTTGCAGGACACCAAAAGAGCAAGGGGGTGACAGGAAGATTCGAAAATACGACAATAATCCCTCCCTAGGCTTTAGGCTGACTTTAGGCTGACTAGTTCTTTCATTTGGAAGATAATAAAGAGGCTGCTAGTTATAGCCAATGAATTGTTTCTCGAAGATAAATACAGCAGAAGAAGCAGAGTTCAAGGAAAGCACCATACTCTTCAAGTTCCTGGACTTCAAAGGGGAACTTTACATTTCCCTAGAAGAACACAGACATAAAAGGAAAGCATTTCTTGATATTGCCTACAAACTTGGGTGAAGCCCAACTAAGGCGGCTTTAATCTGCTACCACTGGTAATTAAGTTTCATTATAAAAAAAAAGATTAAAAAACTTTTAAGCTATGAATATAAAATAATACCTCTATTTCTGGGCTTTTGTATTTGAAATTTCAGTGTATAGCCAAATGAGTTTCCAAAACACTGATTTGATACATACCAATAATAGACACTTGAAAAGAAACTACCATGGACAAAATCTGCTTTTTTTTTTTAATTAGAGGCAGTATATTTTAAATATGGGCAGAGAGACAGCAGGTACTCCTGTTTTATTATAAGTATTCAGACTCTTCCTTTTATGAAAGAAGAGAAGTTATTGCTAGAGACATTTCTCCTGTAAAGGATTCTGTTCGTGACCCTTTTGGTGACATCGTACTGAGACTGCACATTTAGGAATCCAATCCGCTTGAATGGGACAGGTACTAAATAAGAGCTTGCTTTTGTCTCAGACAAAGAGGGCAGAACAAGGCTGGCTGCACTTACTGTACCAGAACTTCCAGATGTTGGAGTTGTTCTCTTCCACGATGCCACTGAACCAGCACCTCCAGAAGAATCCTTCGTGGTGGAAAGTGATGTTCTCTATCTGCACAGAAAACAAGAGTCCTGCAGTCAACCCCAAGAGTATAATCAAGTCTGCTATGCCTTAATACCTGTGATCTCCAATAATGATGACCACTAGATCCCTACAGAGTTCCCTATGAAGAAACAGATACCCCACCCCCGACTTCTCTTCAAGACGGTGCCCAAGGCTGCCCTCAACAAAGACATTTTGAAGAAGAAACGCACATTCTGTTCACCTGAACACCTGCCCACTTCAGTCGCAAGAAGCCAATAATCCGATCCAAAAGCGACCAAAAACAGCAAAACCCCCAAGGCTCCGAAGAGGGCCCCAAAGAAAATGGCAACATTTAGTCTCATTTTCCAATTGACTAGTTTCCTTTCAAATAAAAGAACAAATTGTAAACAATCAACTTCTCAATAACAACAGCAAAGAAAGAATGCCACTCTTGAGTCGGCAAGACCTCAGGAGCAGGTCCTCGCTCGAGCTGTGGAGGCGTCTCATTTCCACCCTGTCCCTTTGCTCTCCCTGGAGGGGCTCCAACCCAGCAGCTGAGAATGGCTGGCTATTTTAAGATACTGATTGAGAAGCTTTCTTCTCCCGTGGGGATCAAAAAATAGCTGACCTTCCACTGACTATAAAGAGACTAACCAGGCAGGAGCAGGCTGGGATTATCATCCTCCCTGTTGGGTAATCCATACAAGTGGAGAGAACAAGGAACCACAAGGAAGCCATGGGGTTCTGGCCTTCTCTTGAGTGTCTGAACAGGTCCCTCCTAGGCTAAAATGGGCACCACAACCTCAAGAAACGTGAGAGGCCCCTGAAAATGTTGATCACCACTCCCAGGAGCCACAAAGAGCTCTCAAAAACAATGGGATTTGTAATTAACGTCTTCATTACTTGTGGACATCCAGGGAAGGAGAAACGTAGGCTTGGTTTAGGTTCATAACTCATCCGTTCAAATGCCATCAAAAAGATCATTTATAGGCATGGCAGCAGAACTGAAAGAATAAATTTAATGATAATAAGCATCCTTTCATTTTTTTTTCACCCTTAAACCATAGTCTCTACACCAATCCCAGTCTTGCTTTTTCTAAGCCAGTGACTTGTTCCTTTAAGCATCCTTAGATCATTACTGCTTCAAATATCTGCTTTGATTCTTCTCTACACTTTACACACATCCAGTTGAAGTGTGATCAAGTAAACATAAACACAGACACTGCAGTTGCTGCCTGATCTGTCAATATGCTCCCTTAGCCAGGTGGGGTCATGTGACCACAGGGATCCTTGCATGACAGGAAGGAAACTCTCTCCTTGCTGAAGGATTATGCACGCTGTCCCAGTGGCTGAGAGTTCATATGTACAAGTGCCCCCCAGTGTGTCCACAGACACTGTCTCCTTGCAGTCAGTCACCCACCACCCCCGGCTCTTACAGTCTTCCTACTGGTTTCTTCCTCAGTGATCCCCGAGCTTTGGGAGGAGGGGTTTGTGATACAGATATTCCCTTTAGGGTCGAGCACTGCAGTCACTTACTCTCAGCGCTGAAACTGGTTGTGGGTCTCTGTGTTAGCGGCCATTTACTGCAAGAAGAAGCTTCCCTGATGTGGTCTGAGAGCTATACGCTCCTCTATTCATATAGAAATAAGAATCCAGAGGGTAGTTCCTTGCATTTTGTAACAGCAGTAAGCTCACTCTAGCGTCCATGAGCTCCCTAGCCATGGGTTCTTGGCCAGGTTTGTAACAACAGCTGGCATGGTTTCCTGCTGGCCTGTGGGTCCAAGCAGAAAGCAGCTATTGTTACTCCTTACTGTGAACCCTGCAACCTACAGCAATAACTAGCCTGGCAAGATATGTCAATGGGTACAGTAGAGGCACAGTTAAGGCATCTTGTGCAATACCCTCACCCTCTCCACTGTGGTAGAATAGGCACTGGAGTCTAAAAACTCAAGTTACTATTTGATGGAAATCAGTTTGCAGAGAAAGACAGTTTGTCCCCTGGGCTTCATTTAAAGAAAGGATATGCATGAGAGAGCCATCAAAATACAAGGGGAAGAGGGAAGTGCCCTGGAAAGGTCCGGGAAGGACTGTATGCCTCGTGCTCCAATGTTTCTCTGGGTTCCTGTGTTCACATTCTCTGCTTCCATTCTCTGGCGTGCTTTTTACTTTTTAATAGACGGTGTCTATTTCTAACCATGTGTCCACAGTGAAGTCCTTCACCTGGCGTCAGGTGTCCTCTGAACTCAGTGTGAGCATCATTTCCCTTCTCCTTTCTTAATCATTCTCAAACACCAGCTTAAGGCTTCAGACTGCTTTGGGCTTTCTTGCAATTTCTCCATGCCTATCTTAAAAGGGTTTTTCTCTACACCCCATCCCCGCTCCAGAAGATGCCGAAAACTTCAGCTTGCTTGTTTTAGTGTTTTCCTCTGAAATTTTAATTAAATTGTCCTTGACTATTTCTCTGATTCAATTTTAAAATTCTTTTATTAATGGGACTAAGTACTTGCAAGGAGACCTTGGTTTCCCCTGTCCTACCACGACCACATCATACGCATTTTGAAATACTCTTCACTGACTGTTATGATAAAACAACAACAAATAAACTCTTTAGGGGCAAACCCCTGGCTCTGGTTTTGTCTTGCTGCATCTCTAACACCAGGCATGAATCTGGAAGGGATCGCTTAGCAGTTCCTTAACTGTCCATCTTCTGATAGTGATTAGCCTTGACTTGAGCACTGCCATCTGCTGGTCATCAGTGGATATTGCATCCTATTGCTTGCTGGGATCAGTGGAGATTTTTACATTTGAACACAACTCCAGCAAGGGTTCTAGATATCCACTTCAGTAATTCATACTATTCTCCGTCGAGTTGAGGGTTATTCCAATAGCTCACCCATTCCTGGCACTGGATTTTTTTTATTTGTTAGCCTGTTGTGTGTAGTAAAGGAATTGTTGCCCCTTTATAGGGTAATTTTATTTAAACTCTTTCTATACTTATGTACATTTTAGGAAGCTTCTAAAGTCATAATGCCTTTTTTGAAAGATCTTGTCTGCTTTGATTTTTTTTTTTGGTTTTCAAGACAGGGTTTCTATGTGGTTTTGGGGCCTGTCCTGGAACTAGCTCTTGTAGACCAGGCTGGTCTCGAACTCACAGAGATCCGCCTGCCTCTGCCTCCCGAGTGCTGGGATTAAAGGTGCGTGCCACCACTGCCCTGAAAGACCTTTAGTGTTAGTGGTCCCTCTCTCTATTCCATCCTCTACCCTGCTCTCCCATCCCTTACCCAGTTTAACACCTCCAGCTCCATTATTCCCCTTTAACTATTGATATGCTGTGCACTAGCTCCCCTTCCCTGCATACATACTTGCTCCCTCCCCACTGCCTCTCATTAATTTCCTTTCCCTCCCTCCCTCTCTTCCTTCCTTTCTTTCTTTCTTTTAAAATATTGCACCATCCCCCCCCCCCATTCCTCTTCTTCCCTCCAACGCATTCTATGTTTCCCTATCGCGATCCCTCTCAAACTCCTGGCTGCCACTTCTTGAATAACTGCTGAGTCTAGTCAGTGTTGATTGCACATACATGCACATGATTTTAATGATGGGCACTTCATGTTAGATAGCCGACTATGGGGTTCTCATCTTGGGGAAGACCATTTCTCCTGCCCTCAGCATCCCTTAGTTGCCTATAGTTCTTTGTCCAGGGCTGAGAACTCCCCATTCCATGTTAGCATATCTGTTATGATTGTCGTTGTTCAGGAAGCCATATTTTTGAAGTATGATGAGGTGTCATAGGGCTTTCTTGTCAGTTCTAGGATACACAATCTCACAGCAGATTCCCTGGTCCTCTGGCTCCTAAGTCTTTCCACACCCTTTCTTCAGTGACCCCCTCAGCAGGAGCTGGGCTATAGATAGACTATTGGGTCCGTTGTTATCTGTATTTTAGTCAGATGTGGCTTTCTTTAATGATCTTTGTTGCAAAAAGAAACTTCTTTGGAGAGGGTTGGGAGCTTCACTTATCTGAACTAAAGGGTCAGTATTTAGAATGCACACAGGAATTATGCTGGTCTAGTAAAGAGGTGGCAGTAGGTCCTCAAGATCCCGAACCGCACTGGCCCTAGGTAGTTGACTGAGTTCAGCCTCCAGTGCTTCATCAAATCATCATGGAAGTAGTCAGGCTACACAGTCACTGCAGCAGCTTCTGTTCCCACAAAGCCTGGCTGCAAAGCTGTCAGGCTTTCTCGAGATTTCCAGGTGGTGGATTGCCCTGTGACACACTTCTCTGATGAAGCTGCAGAAGCTGCCTATCTTCACTGCACCTGTTTCCTCCTTTTGTTGCAGGAATGAAAATGGAACTTCCAAGCTCTTAATGTGCTGGAGCAGAGTCCAGAAGCCCTCTGGTTTTTTGTTTGATTTTGTTGTTGTTGTTGTTTAAAGGAACGGAAGCAGAGAACATGTATTCTTTTTGAGCTGGCTTCTTTACTCAGTATCACTATGTTGACACATCCATGCTGTTATAGGAATTCAGAGTTGATGATTTTTATTGTTAACCACACTCAGTTTTACAGGTCTACAACCTTTGTTCATCCATTCACTTGCTGATGGATAGTTCGGTTGCTTCCAATATAGACCTACTACAGATAAGGATTGTATGGACATGTGTTTACATGAAGCCTTGTTTATGTGCGCACTCTTGTGTGCACACCTTGATAAAGTAAACACATTAAGGTATAGTAGTATGCCATGAGGTAAGTGTAGGGAACCCTGATGTCAGTTCAAGATAGCCTACGAGCATATTCTCAGCACAAAGAAGATTTATTTGCTCCACAAAAGGCAGAGATAAGGGACAAAGATGGGAGACAGAGGAAGAGGGAGAAGAGGACGGAAACAAGGGAGAGGAGAGAAAAAGGGCAATGGAGAGGGATAAAGGATTGTTTGTCATAGGGGGAGTAGACAAAGAATCACCTCTGGATAGATAGGAGACAGGTGTGGCTCATAGGAAAAAGGTGGTTTATAAAGGTAAAAAAGGAAACTCTTTTAAGGTGAGTTTAATTTTAACTGGGCATGTTAATTAGGAAAGTCAAAGGGGGCTTCTGATTCTTGGATTTTGCATTTGATAGCTAGATCTTGATAGTCAGTCTTGGGAGGAGGAATTGGCCAAATAAGGGAGTAGCTTGGTGGCTAGCTTTAGGAGTGTAATCGAATGGTTTTCAGCAAGGCAATGGGAATGAGGAGAAGGGCAAAGCCTGCCAGAGCCACGTGCTCAAGTGGCCAGTGTCCCTTCAGAGCCAAATGCTCTAGAAGGATAGTGTAACTTGAACTTCTTAAGAAATTTCAAATTTCTTTCCAAGCTGGTTTTGCCACTCTGCACACCCACCAGCACAGTGGCAGATCCTGCCAAATCTAGATAAAATCTTTTCAACTTTAATAAAAACAAGTTGTCGATGTGGTATGCCCTAAACAATAATGGCTACTGTAGGTGTTGGAGGGACTGC